ATATTGAGATAAAGATGCTTAGTATCTTATTTGATGACATCAGACAGACTTCAAATAGATAACATTGTTGGTGTCTCGTCGAAACATACTTGTCTATGAAAATGTACATCGATGGCGCCATCGTCCACATTTTTTCTCGCATTTTCAACTCAAAATAAGTAATCAAGTATCCACTTTCAGAATATTTATTGACACTTTCCATTTTTTTTATTCCGTGTGATAAACAAAAACAACTCAATTAAAACGCAAATCAAAGATAATTCGTCAAAAGTCCATTGGCCAAGCGAAACTGTAAATACTTTGTTTGGGATTAGTTTGTTTTCTCTCTTTCTTTTAACGTTCATTCAATTGGTAAATTATCGCATTTAGTTAATGTAATCAAAAACAGTGAAAGGAAATGAAGCCTCCGAAGAAACTAAAAAAATAATAGTTTTATGTTGTCACTCTTATTTAGTACACAAGTTCAGCGCACATTGTGTTAATGACTTTCTTGTTAATTTACGATTTGATGCAGCTAAAATAAAGTCAATGGCTCGACGATTAAACTCGGTATAATATTCAAATGTCTTACGCTGTCGACAAAAAGCAATCATCGACATATGCAGTAATTATTATATCAAGTTTTATTTGCATGAAAATCGCTTGGAAATTATTCAATGCAGGAAAAATTCCACAACAAATATTGTTACTTGCGCCAATGTGAAAGTTTCGATACATTCTTAGATCATAAGAGAATATCTTGGAGATTTAACACACGCAATCCATGATGTATGTCAAAACATATCGCACAAGACGATAATCAACGAAATAAGACAACATCCAAAAGTGATCTGGTGTCGATAGCACCATCAATTAAATAGCATAACAAGTAAAATAACATGAATCGCACATTTTATTTCTCGTTAAATTTCTCTGTGTGGCGCCTAATTTGTGACATTATGATCTTTTTTGTATTTTTTCGGTGTCACTGTAATACACCAAAAATACCGTAAACTTGCGGCGTCATTGCTCTTGCTTTTTTCGTTTTATTCAAATAAAAGCATAAGAATTGAATTAAAATCATTCGATCTCGTCTTGAATTCGCTGAAATTAGAGCAGAAAATATGATTGTAATACTATCGAATGAAGAGAGTCTATTGATCGGACCGAAACATGTGAAGATGTAACATCTGTCGGATTTTTTGATGATGCCAATTTTTGTACTTTCATCTATCGATCCGATTTTGGGTCATTTAAACTGTTAATTACACCAAATATTAATACAAATCGTGAAATTTGAATGATCTTACAGATATTTTATGTTGGAAGTTGGTAAAATATTTGGAAAAATTCGGAATATATAATCTTAGAAATCGTCAGGGGAAAAATTAATGCGAGATACCAAATTCTTAAAATTAGTTCATGCAAACGTAAGAAAACCGATGACTTTTAAAACATTCAAATATATTTCCGTTGTGTTTGAACTCTCGATCAAGCACTCACGCACTCCCTGTAAACATGGAATTTCAATCAATTTAAAAAGTGGTCGAATTTAAAATAAATCCCATTTAAAGAAGATTTGATTGTTTAATTTAAAGAAATCATCTTCCAAGGTCCGGTTATCATCGACTGAGTCTTACGTGCTTGGGATTTTACGTAAAATGAAATTTTATTTTTCAATTGATGGCTACATGATAAAACGCACTTTTTCTTCTGTGTAAACAAATTGTGAACATTTTTTCATTCGATGTATTGACCACAATTGTGGTGGACAAAGCGATTCAATTTTTGAGCCCATTAATCCGAATAAAAAATGTTCGTTTCTTTTGTGCTGATCGAAAATACGATGAAAGTAATGTGGGTTACGCGAAACTGACGACATTGTGATTGTCATCTGTATCTTTGTGGAGTTGTCAACATTAACGTTCAAACTGGTTTCTGATAAAGTGGCTTCGAAGCGTATTTTGTTTCTTTTTTGTTGTGCATTACCATTTATAACGGAGTTCAGTGAATTACAATACATTTTGGTGCATACATAATGAACTCGTTAATTAAATTGATGTTGCATTCAAAAACAGAGATTGGCTACAATAAAAATGACGACCAATTGAAATATTCGTTCAATTGCATTTGATTTGATCGGATTTTACACAAAATGTGCGATTGCATTTGCCTTGACAAATTACGACAAGTGAATTTTTGGATGTACCAAAAGTAGATGATTTATTGAAAAGCGCAAATGTTTCACAAGAGAAGCGGCGACGGTAATTATTGAATCAATTTATTTTCGACCGTGCGCGACAGTTTGTTGTGAAAATAAATGAAAAATCGTGATTTTTCTGCAAAAAGTAGTTAAAAAAACAATAACTATATGGTATGACGAATTTGGTGAATGGCAACTGGTTATACAAAACAACGCACTTTCAATATTGCAACCAGATTCATAACAAAGCATTCAAATGAAAACGTATTTCATCAATTTGAAAAATCCATAGTCTATGCAAATGTAACGGTCGCTGAACGAGACTTGAACTACGGTTGTTAAGTTTTTATAGCAATTTGGTCGGATCATTCTACGAATCACAACTTATTTTATAAGATTCAGTTCAGAATTATCCCAAGAGACTCTTCTGAAATTGTCATCGCTTTTAATAAAGACACAAACAAGTTGGGAAAAGATAAAGTAACCTTAATTAACAAAAATTTGGTTAATAAAAAAAAATTTGATTCTCAAAGCGATCTCAAAATTGATAAGAAAAGACAATCAAAACAAACCGTCTAATATATGTTAGCATGTCGATGTTTATCACGATTGGCTAACTTTATGCATTTCCTTATCGGTTTTCTTGTACACAAATTATGACAAAAAAGGTGCCAAACTTTACTTTCTATAAAACGCTCGTTTTTACCGACTTGTTGAAACGAAAACTGAACACAAAAAAGTTATCCAAATCTACAGTTATTACATTTGAACATGAAAATAAAATCGCGAGTTGTGGTAAAAATGATATAAAAACGGCGACACAATACGGGAAATACACCATATTGAGAATCTTTTTAATTTTTGGTTTGGGAATTTCCGGCGGCGGTGCAACAACACAACGAAAAAATGGTACTTCACCAAGACCTGATAAATTCAATGAAATTTCACGTGTAATTGGCCGAATGTTTTTGAAATCTTTTCTTAAAATGAACAAAAAGAAATTGTTCAAAATCAATTATTAAACCAACTTATTCCCTGAAGCAGCATACAAATGAAGAAGAAAAATTGATGAAATTTTCAATGTTCAAAATGTAAAAGTCATGAGTCGCCTTTTGGCGATAACGAATATCGACACGTTGATTCAGATTCAGATAAGTCTAATTCGAACCAAAGTAAAATCGAAATATCAAAAATAAATCTTCACTTTTCAAATTGATTTCCGCATTCAAACTGAAAGTGAATTAAGCGCACACTAATGGTGCATACACGAGAGTAAAAACAAATTTACACATTAGTTGAATGTGAATGCATGCTATTTTTCGGTGATTTAATGTGATTGAGATTGCGGCAATGTAATCAAGCGTAATTATTCAGTGAAAACATATTGTTGGTGGCCATCAATTTTCCTGATGAAGTAATCGCGGCGAAAATGAAAATCTTCCCAAATGTTTTTTTTTTTTTTTTTTTTTTTTCAAATTTTTCCGTTGAAACACATTTAATATAAATTATGTACGTTAATATTGTGCTATATACTAAGTACACGTTGATCACGTCGTCACAAATTGTATTCGGTAAATGTACGCCGCGAAACATGTTGTTGATTGAATTGGCTCGCATAATCACACCAATGATTATTTATTGTTGTCGATGGTATATCGATGCGCGAATTGCTTTTACTCACGATTCTAGAAGAGAATGCAAGCAATAAAAAGGAATGTAAGATTCGAAGTGCTGTGTACGCCTGTGCTTCTCAACCCTCTGGGTCATTATACGAATCTATTTTGCACGTTTCGATTTTCTTTCAGGGCATTTCGGCCATAAAAAGTAAAAGTCAGAAATTTTGCGTACACGTTCGCCATGTACCAAATAATCAATATGATCGTGTTTAACGGTTGATTTGATTATCGATATTCGCCCGCAATTTGCTTTGACCCAAAAGTCCAATAAGTATAATTGGTTTGATTGTTTATTGAAATGGTCTCTGTAAAAACAGACAAAGGTGATCGCTATCTGTTGTGCGGTAAAAGTCAATTTGGTTACTAATGAGACAAGCGACAACAACAACATTAAAATATGAATCGAAACAAATTCAAAGCGTGAAATTCGTATGGTCAACGGTAGTTTGGGTAATGTGAGTTCAAAATGCTTATCAGTTGGTGTTGATTAAGTGATACTTCGTATCGCATCCATTTATCTTCAAATGTGCGCTCACGCTACATGCTCACACTCTGTAATTATGTTTGAAGAAAAGATTGAAAGAGAAAACGTATGCAACGAATCGATTTCCAACGTATTTTCTAAATGGTATGAAACTTTGCCACCGACTCAAAACATTCAATTGTCGAGAGTGATTGCACTGTTTTTTTCACAGTTCGTCAATAGTTCAGATTTGCAACATTGAGAAAAAACGTGTATGCATTGTTTTAGGTGCTGCTGCGCTGTGGAGCAATACTCAAATGCGAAATGAAGCAAATTCATTCATTTGTTCAACGATTACAAGCGGAATGAAATAAACAAGATAAGATGCGAATCGGTTTCATTATTGGGGCAAAATGTTTTGTAGTCATTTCATGAATGTAATGCACTCGCGCGATACATCAAGAATGCTAGCAAGCTTGCATCTCTATCTGTTTTTCTTGAAAAAAATGGGCGTTAAACATGCGTGCGACTTTACACACACATGCGCGCTCAGATTGCGTGTGAAAATCTAAAACGAAATGAAAATAAGCGAATAGTCTGAATTAAAGTGCGATGCCAGTAGATATCTTGTTTGCAACATCTCATTATCGCAAACGGAAATTTCAACATATTATTTACGCACGTGTGTGGAAACACAAATCATAAACAATCTGCATATAAATGGTAGAATATCGTGCGTTATCGTCCGATTGAAGACAACAAGAAGAAAATGGTATTTATTTCTGGCTAAATTTACAACGAATTGTACTAGTTTCATCGATTTTATACTTAAAATCCGCGATTTTCAATTAGATACGAATAAAACGAAGCTTAGTAAATGCGTACACAGCTTGAGGTAGCGATTTCATCGTCTCGCAAATGCCATTAAAGCGATACAACGATTTGAATACTTTAATTTAATCAAAATCCGATGCGCAGTCATATTCACACTCTAATTATTGATTAAAATTCTTTAGAAATCCATTGCGAAGCACAAAGCCACAACAGCTGATGCATTGCATATTACACACAATTTCGTTGTCATATTTAATAATAAATTCAAAGAGAGTTTATTGTATTCACTTATACTATGTATTTAATGGAAATATTTTTATTTATTGTTTGTTTTTCTCTTTGTTGGTCCAATGATGATGATGATGTTGTTGTTGAACAACAAGCACAACCTGAAACTGAGGTTGCAATTTTCTTTTGATCATTTTACACATAGCAACAGTCTGCTATTGATCGTACGTGTGTGTATCTGTGTTTGTGTAGTAGTCAAAACAAAGCAAAATTCACGGACATAGTTTTATCTCGCGGTTGCTGCAGCACAACCACAAACTGAATAAATAGTGCGCATTATTGAGAATATAATAAAAGAAACGCAAACGCCAACTTCATAAATTGAATAATGCAGAAAAATCTCACATTGTACACCACGCGCACTACTGTTTTCGAAGTTTCAGAGCAAACAAATTTGAAGAAAAAAAAATGCATTTTCCCGTGGCTCAAGGTGAAAACGATAAATACAGGCATTTACGGATAAAGATTGGTCGGTCCATTTCTTTAAATAAACTATCGCACAGAATCAGGGTCATGTTCAAATCGGAAATCTCTCATTTGCATTTAATTCTCTAGCAGCTTCACACATCAATTCAAATTGAAATCAAGCGTAACGGTTTACCGATGATGGAGATCTTACATCTTCATCGACAAATCACACAGTGAAATTGATCACATACTTATTTTCGCAGTTCAATTGTTTTGTTGCCAAACAATCTCTTTCCAAACCGAACACATTTTTCGAAGCAATTTAAATCATCTCATTCAAAGCTCGCTCTTTTCTCTCAGCCTTTTTAGCGCGGTTTTTAATAGTTCGAATTCAATCAATGACATCGATCAGATTTTTCGATTAGAATCACTCATTTTAAAAATTCGAAAATATTGCGATTAATTTGAACGCGGTCACCCTTTGATGCGTACGACGAAATTCGGTGCACGAAGAATCAGAACACTTCGCGCTTGCTTGCTTTTTGTTTTGTTTTAGGTACAAATTTTCATACGTGTTACTATAATGATGGTACAATTTATGGCGACGACTATCATGCCACTTGATACAAACAGTTAAGATCACTCACTTTTTCCGTACTTTTTCTTCTTTTCATATGTGTTTCGCTTGAATTCGGCTATTTTCGACTGTTTTTTTGTTGCCGTGTGCTAATGTATCATGTACGAAAAGGCGCATTCAATTACGGTATATTTTCGGCATTTTCGTTTACACACTCGATGGACTCGAAATAAAACTTTGAACAATTACTGCTGAGCGAATGCGTTCACTTGACGCTGCGGTTTATGATACAATTAAGGTTAACTTTTACAGAGAACTTACTTATTTTGGAATTGTTGATCTTTCTTCGCGAGTGCGGTTGTCGCAAATATTCAATCCAGATAATTAAAGTGTAGTTAATCCAATTGGCGTCGAATTTCTGTAAAATGATTTCACATACTCTTAATGTAACTTCAACAACTGTATTCTCAACACAAGAAAAAAGAAGAGATTTTTTTGTGGGGGGCTTTTTGAATGAATTGGCCCAATTTTTCGATTGTCTACTGACACACTGAGCTTCAAAAAACACTGGAATTCTGGAATTTGTGTGTGGCTTACTCTATTGAATAAGATGATTTGTTGTTTTCAATTCTAACAGTTCTTTCGTTTAGCACACTTTTCTATTTGCCTTTTCTTCATTCAATCACAATTGATTTTTTTAATCAATTCGATGCGATTGATCTTTGGTCGAATATTTTATCTTATGCAATTCAATTACAATAGATAAAAGAAAACTAAAGACGTCCGGCACTGAAATAACACCAGAATTCGGAGATAGAATACAAATTTCACTATAATATTGAAAAAAAAAAAATTCTTTATTCAAATGCAAAAATTTGTTGCTAAAAAAAGAGAAAAAAAAGAAAACAAAACCAAAACCAATGCTCAATTGAGCGACTCAAATGAATTAAGTCAGTAAACAAAGAGAAAAACGATCGATGAAGACGCACAATCACGACGTTGCTTGGTTCGCAGCCAAACTACAAATGAACGGTATCAAAGTTACATACAGCGAAGTTGGTGTTGATGGTGCTGTTTACCATCACCGATGTACCTCGAACGCAAATACACCGATTTCGAGCACACTGAAGATATTCACCAGCTGTATATTTTGGACCAACACAATTGCAAATCTCTCTGTTCGCTTGCTTTCTTTTGATTACTCTTTTATTTCGGCAATTTTGGATTGGAAAAACATTGAAATCGGTAAACATCGTTTGCTCGTTTGCGTGCGGCTTATATTGTTTTTCAATAAACTACTAAACGTTAATTACTTTACAGCTAGAAAACAAACATCAAAATCATTAATAACTAAAACAATCACTTCGCTTACTCCAAATCGCCTAATGCGATGCGCTTGGTCCAATTTTCTGCATAATCTGTGCTTGAGTTGCTTAAATGATTTTCACGACGAAAGTTACGTTATTTCGCTCTCTTTCTTTTCGTTTAGAATTTCGAATTTCTCGCGTAATCAACACATTCACGAAAAAAGCAACCATAATTTGAAGTTCGCATTCCAATGGTATCATTTTCACGCAAAAATAGTTGTTTCTTATAGACATTTTTCTATTCTAAAGAATGTCTCGCTTCTATTAAGCATTTACGTCGTTAAACGCTTCATTTATGCAATATTTCATAAAACTAACAAATTGCTTTTGGGTGACTTCACGTGTGTGATTTCTTTGTGCTCACGCGAAAAAAAACCAGCAATTACATACAACGAACAAACGGTAAATAAGCAATCAACTTTTTGTGACCGAAATAGATTTTGATATGAGTATATTACTTATTTCATTGTAGATTTTGAACTTGGATATTTCATCTTTCGAAGTATAAAATGTTAGCCAATACATTGATTAACTGTGCTGAATTTTATGATCTTGATTTTTTTATATGTGTTTAAGGCAAAAAGAAAGTATTAAGAATTTGTCCATTCCAAGCCACATTTTTTAGAAGAGATATTCTCAACGAATTAATTCATAACCACGTCAAATGAAGACAATAGAACACATTGAATAGACTCTATTTTTAAAATAATTTCAAGTATTAGAAACCGAACAAAACAATAATTTATTATAGCTATCTGTGTATGAATAAAGAAATTCCATTTGATATAGTCAGCGGATTTTTACTTGAATTTTGAGAATAGCCTGAATGTAGACACAACATATTTTTCTTCGTGCGGTTTTCTCTTTATTTCGATTTAAAATATTAAACTTAGTTGTCGATCCATTGTGAACACGCAGTTTCTGTACAGTACACAAGGCAGATATACTTTAATTATGAACTATCTCGTCAATTTATTTTCAAGAATATTTTTGAATAATGAAACTTCCGCCAATTTGTTGCTTAGTAAATTGATTTTTTTTAAATAATAAAATTAGACAAGAATCTGATGATACGATAGTATCATTCAACTATAGTTGAATCATCACAACGTCAACCTGATGTATCATGCCAGAATCCACGTCTCATTGTTTCCGGGTTGAAAAACCATTTGTTTATGTCGTCGTACCAATGTGGAGTGTTCATGGTATATTCATCATGTAGTAATGCACAAACACGACACCAAAGATCCTCAAATGGATTATGTATCTCGCCGGTTCCTTTCCACTGAAAATATGAATTATAAAGTTCATCATCTTTATCGACTTTGTTTAAATAGTCGGCCAAATCTTTGGGCGAATAAAAGTCTTCCACATAAATGAATGAATTGTATGGAAGTTGTCTCTCGTAGTCTTCACGACGTGAATACAATGGGCAATACATCATGAGCCAAACCATTTTGGTACGTTTTTTCAGTGATGTAATCCATACAATATGAATTTTCAAATGATAAATAGAATTTATAATCTTTGGTCACCATATTAAGGCACTCGGAAAAACTGTTGGGACATTTTTTCGTTCCACATCTACCATAAATGTCAATCTGTCGAAATCAACACAAATTAATTATCAATTTTATTTTCATCAAGATTTCATTCATACATCAATGTATTTCCGGAGTTTTTGTACATATATCTGGCGATCATTTTCAGCATCACAATTCGACACAAGCCAAGCGACTTTTTTTGTTTTATTTTCAGCATAATTTCGATTCTGTTCCATTTGCTTTATTCGAGGATCGAAATATAACCATTTCGAATAAGGAATCGCAATCGTACTGTCGTGCCTGAAAATTAAGAGTTGACCATTTTGTTTAAGATTAAGAAACTCTATTTTTAAGCCATTTACCGATATGTCATCGTCCAGTTATAAATGACTGATTCTGAAATTCAAAGGAATATTTTTCGCAAATCATTATTATAATTTTTAAATCATAGTTTTTACTTGTGTATTGTTCTGGCCAATGAATCGGACTCTCATTTCTGAAAAATGCATAGACTTGATGTCGCTGTTTAGTTATTTTTGGATCTTTCTTTTGATATAAAAATACAATTAAATCGGCTGTATTTGTTTCCTTGCGATCAACTGTGAATCTACATCGATTGACTGGGCATTTTTTATTGGTAAACCAAGTGTGCCATTGCTGTTTCAGCTCCCACCATTTTTCGAGATAATTATAAAATAGAATCGTTTTATTTTTCTCCACCTTTTTCTCATCATAATTTTGACGTCACTTGGATCTTCCCATGGCATTAACTTTGAATCATGTCTGCCCAATTTTTCTGAAAAATTTGCTCGAATTGCCAGCACTTTTCCACCATTAGTGAAGAACCACGGTCGCTCTCTGGGTTTTATATCGTCATTTTTACCAATGAATTTGGTCGCTGATTGTTTCACATTCCTTAAATTGAATTTACTTTTATTATTCGAAATGCCTTCACAGATTATATGATAGTTACCATAAAATACATTGAATTGCCACAAAAAAAATGAAGAAAAATACAATTATTTTCTTCATCGATAGCGATACGTAAGCAATTGGAGATCTCATGACAAATTCGTCCTTATTACTAAACCGAAATGGAATAAAGCAATATTTTTTCTGCAATCAAACGTTAAAACAAGACAAAACGAACCAAATTTGTTAGAGAATGTAATTTGTAATTTGGGTGACTACGAAAATACTAGCTATCTTTTTTCTAAAAATTAAAAGATGATACTAAATCAGAAAGTATTCAAAATAAAATTAACAAATGTCTGTTTATGCGTAAAATTCGTTTATTATCATATGTTTGAATTTTATGAATTCCTTATCAACTACAAATAAAGCAATGATAAAAATAAGTAAAAGATCTATACATTTTTTGTATGATAAAGAAAGATTTAGAACAGTGCAGGTGTTTTGATGTAATTTTATGGATGCATATATAAAATATTATGAGACTTGTAACCTCAATAGAAAAAAACATTGCGACTTGTGTGTAGTTGCTATGAGATATAGATATGCATGAATTCGTCGCATGCCAAATCCATTTTTGAGTAAATTTAAATCATCAACTGACTCTGTTGTGACCATTGCAATCGACATTCGTGAGGTTCTTTTTTCTTTGAAAATAATTGCGAATTGAAGCGATGAGATTAATCGAATTGTTTATATGCACCACTGTACGATTAGCTCGAATTCCATCCAAAATACGTTCTGAATATTGCTTAATATTAGTTTGATTGATGTTGTTATTGTGTACGTTCTCATAGTTCCACAGCACAGTGGTCAAACGGATTCTTTGCTTGTTGAATAAATCAAGTGCAAACGTTGACTGTTGATTGTCGGTGAGCAAATTTATTAACTCTTTTATCTCACGATAAGAAGATAATAATGGTTTTTTGTTTGAGATTATAGGTTGAACGGTGACGAAATGCCCGCATTTTGAGTATTTTAATTTCGGTACGAAATGGATTAGCATCTGCAAAATAAAATGAAATTGTTTTGAATCCATTTCAAGCTTTATTTCTTTAACTCACGTTTATGGTTGTGCGTAATTTTTCACTTGTGCCATCAATAAAGGCGCGACAGTCGTCGCTTTTAACAGCACTAAAAATGCCATTTGTTGTATTATCAATTACGATATCAATGCCATTGAATGTATCCTGAATTGTTTGGCTTAAATGTCCCAAATCTTCATTGTCCAGTATGTTGCATTGAAGAACTGAAATCCCCGCCGAATTTGGTGAAAGTAATTCCGATTTGCTTTTTATTTTGTCGATTTTTTTCTTAACCAAAATTACATGACATTCATGTTTGGAAGACAATTGTGCTGCTAATTCTTGCGACAAAGCCGTGTCACCATTTGTGATCTATAGGAGAAAATGTGAAAAAAGGATAAACATGTTTACTTCAGGAAGTGATTTTTTATGCTTCTGGTGTACAATGTACAATAGAGTGTTTCCGTAGTCAAAAAATAAAAAAATGGTAGTCGTTAATTAAAAGTGCAAAAAATTCTAAGACAAATCATGACATTTACACAAAGCATCGAATGATATTGACACTTCCCGAAGCAAAAAATTCTTTATAGCAAAATGTGTTTAATGTCAAAATATTGAATTAGCATTATTGATGTGAATCGAGCCTTATGACATTTGACGTTCATTTCATTGGTTTTCGTAATGTCATAATCGCCGCTTCATCCATACCGAGAACATGTTTATCGTTGTAAATACCAAGTTTACGCAGCAGTGTTAATTCCAATTCAACGTTTCAATTATTCTACGATTTTGTTAATAATTCATATTATTTTCGATATACGTGCGTTTTGTATCAATTTATTCCGAATTGTTCAACACTTGATCGATCGATTGATCCGGAGTCCAAGCAGATTGTTGAATTCAAATCACCGTGAGTAAACTTAATTTACAGTGAAAATTAAAGTGAAAAATATTGGTGAATTCATCGGTAAAAATTATTATTTTTGATGAGAAAATGCCAGCGAATACACGATTTATTCAAAATTTGAATAACGTGCTTATTCTAAGCAATTATTCATCTCCTTCTTATTGTGAAATTCATTCTTATTTCATAGCACGACATATAAGCCATTTGTAACGTGAAATATATTTAAACTAGTCCAATAATTATTTAACGTTGAACATATTAACAGTAACATTACATTTTATGAAAAAAGTAATGTATTTCACAATTATTCTGCAGTACATAATTCTGTTGCGTGAGGTGGTGAAATTCATTTCAAGCAGTGATACCCATTTTGAATTGGTTCCATTGTTTAGAAAAGAGAAACAATAACTCGTTTATCAAAGAAATGTGTTTAAATTTTTTTTTCTCTCTAAATCACTGCCATTGTTATCAATCCGAAGATTTTTGTCATTTTTCTGTGTTGCATGATTTTGTGTGTGTACCAAAAAAAGCGATAGATTCGTGTTTTGTTGTCGTTCGATCAAATTGAATTCGGAACATATGTGAATATTTGTGTGGATTGGTTAAAAGGATTTTTCACTTTGATTGTATGTTTTGCATCTGTGCATTCGGTTGATATTTTCAAATTACATGTGAATGCTTTTATTTCAGTGCTGGAGCACATTTTTTTTCAATGTATATATTTTTTTATATACTTTTTTTCGATCGAACATTGTTTGATATGAAAAGTCGTCACTTTTAAATTATATGGATCAATGAAAATTCAATACAAATTCGTTTTCAAACTAAATCGAATGTTTGTTTTTTTTTCAATAGGAAAATGGCGAATCGCTTCAAGCCATCCATACCAGCGAAGGGAGAAACGAAGGATGAGATTACGACGATCAAATGTGCGCTGAAGACAATCATTCGCCCACAATTCCAGCAAGCATTGATGAGCAAAATAACGGACCTGAGTTTGCAAGCCACTTCAATTTGCGTTTTGGGCTCATTGCTTTTCTTGTTCGAGGTGCAAAAGGCGTACGAACATAGGCATTGAGAATAATGATTTCGCATTCTTTGGTGGAAGTGGAGAAAAAAAGATCCAACTCTGCTTTAACCAAGTGCTATGGCATAACAATCAGCCACCGAAACCGAAGTCGACGTACAGACCACGAGGAACAAAGCCACGAGGACCACGAGCAGAGCTGCCACGTATCGACCCTGAATTCAAAGCAATTGTCGAAGGTAATAAATAATTATAGTTGATTTATTAAACAATTAAACCCCCTTATAAAATAGCGAGTTTTGACTACACAGTACACAATTTAGTTGAATTTGAAAAACATATTTTATTTTTAGGTCTTGACGACTATCATCGTATCGATTGGCCCAACAACAATGATTTCAGCAATGGCCTAAAGCATTTGACCAATCAATACACAGACAACGTCGTCACCAACTCAACAACGCATGCTGACAAACACATCACCCAGTACTTGAGACTGAAAGTGTTCGAATTGAACACAGACGGAGAAGAGGACGCAGAGAAATTTTTGCCAAGTGACATCGAAAGTGTTGTAAAACTGATCATCAAAGAAAAAAACATCAGAGTTCCAATTCACGATCCAAACAAACTCGAACGGTGTGGCATGTTGTATGACATGGTGAACGACTTGAATGTGTTTCCAGAAATCGATCTGCATGACCTCACGACTGACGAAAAACATTGGTTTAAGGCCATGCCAATGTTCCTATCTATGCAACGTGAGATAGAAGAGTATAACTTGGAGTGGCCACATCAGCACCGATCCAAACGAAAGAAAAGAAAGCGCAAAAAGTCAAAGCGTCGCCCCAAGCGCAAACAAATGCTCGACGATCTAAAGTTTCGGCCATTCATCCGGAATTTAGTAGTGGTGCCGATGTGTGATTTTCGCCGAAAGCACTTCAAAATCGATTGTTCAAGCATGCACCAGGTGTTGTCTTCGCAAAAATTGCTACCGAAAGTGGAAGTTGAAAACAAAAACGGAACAACAAGCATGGTAATTCTTCCACAAAAGGGTTTCAACGATGCGCGTGATCATTGGTGGAATCAGTATTTCTACATGCGGAAAATTCGGCGATTCGTGCGTGGAAAAAAGAAGTTTGATTTTTCTATAAACACCGATGGAATCGCTGTGTCTCTGCAATACTCGGCCAAAAAGAAGACGAATAACACAGAATACGACCGTTCTCGCATCGTTGAAATGATTTTGGATGGCAAATTCGAAAATTTTGCAGGCGTTGATACAGGCTTGAAAAGTTGGAACACCACAGTGACACACAACATTATAACTGGCACCGAAGTAAGTTTTTACATTTATGTTGTATATGTATCAATGGAAGATAGACCGCGTAAATGCTATAATTCAATAACTAATCATTTAAAAAAAAAAAAAAATTTCAGACCAACTTTGTGATGTCGAGCAAGCAGTTCCACTGGCAGACTGGTCAAAATGTGCGAAATGCCAAAGCAAAGCGTTGGACCAAAGCTTTCATCGAAGAGGAGCGCCGAGACAGAGAAAATCGTGAGCTGTACCCAGTGATGCCATCGCCAAAAGGATCATACTGGCTGAACTACATCAAGCACCGAGTCAAAATGATGAAGCATGGGATCTGTGCTTACTCGACTGCCAAGTACACTCGACTCGCCTTGGACAAACACATCAAAAGCAGTAGTGTTGTCGACAATTGGGTGGAAAAGGTTACCGATAAGCAATCGACATTGTTTCTTTTTGGTGCTGATGGCGAAGTACCATCTGACAGCCGAATAAGTATCAAAAAGTACGTGCGCTGTCCAGGTGTTCGTAAGACTTTGAGGTCAATAAAGAAGCGCCGAAATTGTGTCATAGATCTGGTGGACGAATGGGGTTCATCTCAAACAGACGCAAGATGTATGAAGCGATTCCAAAACCAGCCCAAATCGGCCAGATTCAAGAAATGCCGGTGCATACCCGACGCCAGAACATTGCTGCCAATAAAAATTGTGTCAAAGTTGGGCAAGAAGGATCTATCGGAATTTCGATTGTTGCAACGCGCCATGAACGAAGCATTGGAAGAAAACGAGCCTTTATTGTCAAAAGTAAAAAGTTACTATAAAAACTGGCAATTAAACCTCGAATGCTCTGTGACTTGGCATCGTGACGTCGTGGCTGCTAAGAACATTCTGCTGAAAGGTAAGGCCAATTGACGATACAATTGCGATTGAATGATTGCTTAAGAAGATTCATTTGTTTGATTTTTCAGGACTATGGACATTGCTAGGACTTCCGATACCGGATGCGATCAATAGATATAAAGCCCGCGATGCTGTCGCTGAGGCCGCCGAAGTAGCCGCTGATGTCGCTGAAGCAGCTGCTGCTGCTGCCGCCAACGTAGATAATGATGTAGAAATGTTCGAGTACGACCAGCAGCCAGCTGATCATGCTGTCTGATCAGCACAACGCAAACAAAAAAAAACAATTGTAACATTAGTTATTAAGGCTATCCCGACCATGTGGGATAGTAGCGTAGCAAAAGGTTGACACCCCATTTGGTTGTTGTTGACTGCGCAGGAGTACAAATGGGGCGTTTTTTCTTTGTAAGTAACATTCAATTTTGAAAACAGTTTTTTGCTTCGGGAAGCGTGACCATCAGTCGATGCTTTGTGTAAATGTCATGATTTGTCTTAGAATTTTTTGCACTTTTAATTAACGACTACCATTTTTTTATTTTCAGATATGAGAAACACCCTAATGTACAATTGTACATATTTTGAATTTACTGGGAACAGACAGTTTAAGATCTACACTTTGCCCAAAACGCTCTATTACTTTAGAGATATTATCAGTAATTTACTAAAAATAAAAGTTCAAAATGACCACTCTTCTTTTTAACCTTGAGTGGACTATTCAGACTGGCACACATATAAGTCTAATTTTAAAGTTAACTAAAAATACATTCGAGCTGCCAATATGTTCGATTTCTTTGTCAACTTACCAATGCTTTGAAGCCATTCAATGATTTTCGGACAAAGTATCGCCGCAAATAAATGCAAATGGTGACAATGGCAAGAAAAAAAACTGTACCCAAAAACTCAATCATGATTAAGTTCACCAATAGATGACTATCACCAGATAGCATTTTGGTTGAACATGCGTCGCCCACTTTGATTTAGTTTCTCTCTTTTCTCCAACTGGAATGAAAAAAAAAAAATAGAAATCTTATCAAATCAAATTCTGATTAATAAACACGTTTTCATGATGAATATATATTTCTTCTTTTTAAAGAATAAAACTAGTTCTCTTAAATTTTGCTATTTATATCATCTGAATAGATAATATTTGATGCTCGAAAATAGCTCAAATACAGTATTTTTTGTGTTTCTTTTTCATTTTTGAAGATTTAATGGTATTGGATTTTTTTTCATTTTCTGTCGTCCATATTTAGTCTAGATTCCCTCCAAAACAATGACCAAAATTGAATTAAAATAGCTTCGTTCATTCATTGAAATAGTAAAACACAAGCTACATCAATCCAACGTAAACTGCAAACAGTAGTATGACAGTAGAAATTCCTATAATTTGATGCTCTTTGAACTTAACATGTATATTTTCATT